GAGGGCGCAGAAGGAGGGTGCTGGCGGGAAAGGCAGATGGTGCCTGTGGTGAGAGGAGAGAAAGCAGGAGGTGCTGGCGCAGGTAGTAAGTGTTAGATGTTTTCACCTCTTAAAAAGTCATTTAACCACAATTTTTCTTTAATCGCAGTGGCTACCGATTTAGGAAAAACAGAAAGAGGTGCTAGAGAAAGCAAGGGCTCAGTTCAGCAGAGCTGCCGTGGGGAGGGGATGCTCCCCCTCAGAGCCTGTGGCGAACCTCAGACCACTGGTGGGGGGGGTGTGTCTCCCACCGTGCTTTACAAAAATTACCACTTTAAAGTTGAGACATGTTTGGTCCTCTAAGTCTCTTAATCAATTCTGCACAACAGATCTAGTCTAGAACTTAACTAAATACATCCTACATTGCTTTTCATTTCAGTTTTTCTAAAGCAGGAGTATCAGTGAAGATCCTGGATGGCTCCCAGGTGGCTTGTTGTCTACTTCTGCTCTGAAGGCAAATGGGTAATCACAGCAGCACATTGTTAGGAAGTCAACATGTGCCTTTGGGATAAGCAGTTATCATGTGCAGAGTCAGGGCTTCAGTTGTTTTGCGTATTTGAGCTGGTCAAAAGAATATCCAACTTGGGATAGTAAGAAAAGTTTATCTTGACAGCTAGCAAAAGTTTCCTTTCACAGAGCCAGACTTAATTCCATTTTCTACTGCTGCATAGATAGAGAAGTGAAATATAGCTGTGTGTGATACAAGTGAAGTAACATACCATGAACGTACCATGATAAAAGAAGTGTTAGGAAGTCAGTTTCTCACCAGAACTTATAAATTAAAAATACAGATCTCACCATTTTATTAAGACAGTCACTGACAGTTTGTAAAAAAAAAAAAAAACCAAACCCATTCTAACATACATAAAAGCTTCAGACCAGAAATATCAAGGAATTGAAACAACATTCCTCTCCGCCCCCCCCCCGATACTGCAATACAAATTTCAGTTTGTTTGATTTAAATTGGTTTAATCTTGAAGTGTAGTCCAATAAGACTGAAGACTAGACACTTAAGGTCCTGAACCAGGTAGTAGAACACTCTCAAGCCTTCTGGATCCCTGCAGAGCACAACAGAAGGAAGGGGGGAAAAAAAAGTTACATTGATGTTCTGAGAGAGCAGTTTATAGAACCAACCTATTAAAAAAACCAACAAAGCCTATAGGGATTCTTTTCAGAGGTCATGTTAGACATCAACAGATTTGTTTCATCCTGCATGGATTGATAAAACATTCTACAGTCCAAGTCTGCAAATTAGAAGTCTTGACAAAATGTGCATTTTTATGATGAGAGCAAGTAGTAACATCACTGTGGATTTACAAAACACGCTATCCAGTCTTTTCAGCTTAGGTGAAATATAGAAGCCTTGGCTCTCCCAGAGACGCTGGTGTGGACAGGCCAATGACAGTTCAGTTCTGAATACACCTAACAGGGGTTCCTGCAGTAAGGTTAGCTGCTGGGTCAGTTTGGAAATACAGCATGTAATGACACAGTCTAAAAGTGTTCGGTACATTACCCGGGAACACAGAGCACCTGTGCCCCCAGGAACTGATTTTACTTTGAAACAATTTAAAATACAAGTACCTAATAGCCAGCAAGTTCTAATATAGATAGTTACATAAAAACAACAGTAACATAAAAAAGCAGAGTACGTACTTGGATTGATTTACATCAATGAGTGAACCGATTTTTGACGTGGTAAAGGAGATGTGCTCATCACCGATTACTATTTCAAGCTCCTGAAAAATAAAAGATACAGGAAGTCAAACTACCACCTTAGTTACAGAAATACTTAAGTACTGAGATGATGGCTTTTCCGTTTTTATTACAAAGGTACTGAATGCAGCAGGTCTGTGAGTTGCATTAACTCTCACAACTAAATTGCCACTTAGGCATTGCACAGGTTTTAAAATACTATTTGTTTCCCTCTTGGCTAGAAACAATCCTGATGGGAAGAAAAAGGTGTTATGCTTCTAATGAGCTAACGTGTGAAAATTAAAACAGCAATTAGACAAGACACCGTACACCAACCTGTCGACCAACTCTGTCAGGAGGAGGCCATAAAGCATCATCTTCTTTTGTGATTTCGCTGTCGTCGATGATCCTCTTCAGCTCCTCCATCACACTCTTATGCACGTAGGCCTGCAAACAATAGTCCAACATGAAAAAACAACCCCCAGCGCTACCCGGCACGCTGCCGGGGCTGCTCTGCTTGCACAAACCACCACACGAGCGCTCTGCTTCCCCCATTCCCGACACAGCACCCGCTCCAGGCGCAGGCCGGCAGAGCCGCACGCCTCCACCCCGGCAGCGGCCCAGCGGCGGCCAGCTCTCCCTTACCTCCTTTCGGATCATGACGTCGTTCTTGTAGTTGCTGTTGTTGGCGTAGCGCAGCTTCCCTGGCGGAGACAGGACGGACGTTAAACCCCCGCCAGGGCAGCGCTCGGCGGGCACCGCTCCGCGGCGGC